GAAAGCTGAGGGGGAGCAGGTAATGTCCAAGGCCCACTTGTTGAGGACGGGCTATGGGCAGAGCCCCTTTCATGTCCTTTCCTGAGCGTGGCCCCCGCTGTTCCCATTCCTAACAGCCCCTTCCGGGCGCTCTTCCGGGAGGGAAATCAAATCCGGGTCTGGTCCCCGAAAGCCCTGTAAGTGCCCAACAGCAGCGGGAAGACCCGCCTCTCCCCCAGAGTTGGAGATTGAACCAGCAGACACCCCAAAAGGCCTCCTCCAGCCCCGAGTGACCAGCCCGTGGCAGGCAAGACGCTGCCCACCACGGAGGAATGAGGCTGGGCTGCGGTGGGCGCACCGGGCGGCAGCCACGGTCACCGGGGCTCACAGTGAGACAGAAACAGCAGAGCCCGGACTGGGTTCCTGACAAAGGCGTCGGAGGAAACACTTGGCAAAACTCAAGGCAAGTCGCATGGCCAACAGCTCTGAGAGGCAACGTGGGGTCACGAAGTGACCATCGGCTCATCCCACTGAGAGGTGATGGTGGGAGGGACCAAGGGGTGAAGGACGGAGGGAGAGAAGGGACCTGGGAACGTGGCTCAGGAAGGTGTGGGTCCAGGACACTGGCTGTGCGAGGGGCAGTGCGTGATCAAGGGCACGCAGGTGGCAGTGGGCGAAGCCAGGACCAGCCCCGCTGTCGCAATCCACGCTCCTTCCCGCCGAGTATGAAGCGATGGGTGCTGGGAGGGGCCATTCTCTTTAACATGCAATGATGGCGTTTGAAGAAGGCGACCTCAAAGTCTTGGTCAGAAGGATGAAAACGCAGCCTCCTGCCCGGCCGGCTTGGCTCAGTGGCTGAGCGTCGACCTATGAACCAGAAGGTCACAGGTTGGATTCCTGGTCAGGGCACATGGCTCGGTTGCAGGCTCGATTCCCAGTAGCAGGAGGCAGCCAATCAATGATTCTCTCCCATCACTGATGTTTCTATCTCTCCCTCCATCTCCCTTCCTCTCTGAAATAATAAAAATATATTTTTTAAAAGTAGCCTCCTGCACAGGAGCAAACGCAGGAAGAGACCCTGGAAAACGTCTCTGTCGTGCAGGACTGCAAACGCCGGGAGCATCCCGAGGGAGCCTGCCCCGAAGCCCCCGTGGCGGACACTTCCAGGGAGGGACCCCTCTGGTGTCCAGCGCGGCCGGTGACTCACAGTGAAGACAGGATTCGGCGCCTGGGCACACCACGTACATGATACCTTTCCAAAGACATACCTTTACTGCTGCACTTGAGGCCAGCCCTCGAGTCCAGAGCCCTGCCAATGGACAGCTGGGGCAGAGCGCAGGGCCCCACGCTCACCTCCAGGCTCTGTCTGCCACCCCAGCGTGGCCTGCAGCTCACACAGCCGGCTCCTCTGGGTGACGCTGAACTCGCATGAAGTTCAGGCCTGGAGATGCCCACTACACGTGCACCCAGTGCGGTGCGGAGAACGCCACAGAGGGAGCAGGAAAGCCCTCCGGTGTTCGCGACGGGTCTGTTAGTCACACAGAAGTGCTGGTCACTTGACGATCGAGGTAAAAATGTTACTGTCTCTCTGCATGTGCTGCAAAGTCATGGCGTAAAACCACTGGAGCATCGAATGGAGTCTCACACATCAGATCTCGTTAAAGAGGGTCCTGGCTCCACCAGAATCCAACCCAGCCCCAACCCAGCCGCGGGGCAGCCACACCTGGCAACGCGGCCCAACTCAGCTCTCACCAACTCCCACGCCGCCTTCTCTTTTACAGAGAAAACATGAGCTGTTTTCAAATAGCAGGGTCCTGTGGAAGCTGGTTGCCTTTCAATCCCTTCGTCCACCAATGACAGGAGTTACACAGAATCTCTACTTCTGATCAACAACCAACCCATGTACTTCTAGGAATCCTTGATAACATCTTTAAACAGTTGTGCATGTTCCTAGAAGTAACGGGAAAAAACAAAAAAACAAAACAGTGCCAAGGGTATGAATGGGAGACTGACAGCTTCCCACCAAGAGATGTTGCTCCGCTGCCACTGAATTCCTAACACGTGGATAATGGGGCCATCCGTTCATTTACTATCTGGTTCATCATCCACGTGTGCACTTTTAATGGAAACTTAACCTTTATGTCCCACGTTCTCAGTGGGAGTAGCACAAAAACACGTATGGTATGAGTTTCTCCCCAAGCCAACCTACACATGAACACTACCTTTAAATTGATGTTGAGATAAGCTCTGAAATACTGGCTTTTTCACCCCTGCTCCCACATCTCAGCTCCTCCTGGGCAGGTCCGGGGTGCAGCCCAGAATCACCCCCAAGAGCTAGTTCATCGACCTTTTCCCCAGCCAAGCTGCCAATCACCACTAAACTCTCCCAAGCAGAGAGAGAGACACGGGTAAATGTTAAGTCTACCCAACTCATTTCATAGGTGACCTCTGCAAGATGTCAGCTGGGAGCCTGGGAGAGAGAGGCAGCTTTATTAGCATGCGGCACCAGGCCCCAGCCCCCTCCCCCGCTTTTATGAGCCCTTGTTATACAAAATGCCACAAAGGGGAAAGGAAAAACAACACCCGTACAGTTTCAAACACAAGTCCGGTGGGCCAGGCCAAACCCTGGCGGCTCACCAGAGGTTATTTTTAGTCATTTAAAAGAAAAACACGTTTAAAAAGCCCGAGAACAAAAGTTTTCGTGGTTGTCTTTCTTAAACCCATATACACACAAAAAGATGGAGGTACGTTCCCTTCGCCGGCATCCTTCCCCATTCAGATTCCTTCCCCATTCAAATCCCTTCCCCATTCCAATTTAAAGGCAAAGGCAGCCTGGAGTCGGACAGCTGCTTCCTTCGAGGCTGCACATCTTCCCGTGTTTCCCTCACCCTCTAAATCCCGGCGTGACAGATAATAAACAGCTACTCATTTACGAGCATCATAAAAATTTAAACAGCCTGGAAAGAGTTGCTACAATACAGAAGAAACGAGCAAACCTAAGCTCCGGAAAGCCACTCGGAACAGTGAAACTATTGCGCCGCCGACGCGCACATAAAGATACATTGTTGCCATAAAAGCTGCGGGATTAGCGAATTTTCTCTCTTTTAAATCTTCTTCTAAAAGTCAACAACTTGCCGTATTTTTACCCAAGTGGGGGGGAAAAAAAGGCTTAGTAACCCTCAGCTATCACACGGTGCCAGATTCGGTGGCGGCTTCTCTTTTTAAAGAAAGTATCTGATGCGATTCCACGCAGTGATTAACCATCTTTGTGCTCCGCCGAGAAGGGGCCTCCAGCCCCTCCCCCTCCAAAAATGGCATCGAAGCAATCAAAATGGTAATGCCGGGCCGGGGTCCCCTCCCCCCGCGAACT